TACCAGGCAACATGCCCTCAGCATTGGGAGGATGCTTTTTCATCCCTTGAAATTCCTACCAGACCTGGTATGACATTTGGGGGGGAACCCACACACATTTGTTTTCTATTTTTAACCCGGGGTCCCTCCTAACATTCCTACCATACCTAAAGGGTCTAGTATGGTTTGGGAGAAGGGCCCCACACCGTTTTTTTTTCTTCTTTACATTAAAGTTTTCATTCTGTCTGCTATGTCTGAGGTAGCGAACAGAATGACCAAGCCGAATACTGCACAGCAGCATTTGGCTATTCACTCTCTGCTGTTTGGCCCCTATGAAAATATGGGCGAACAACAAAGACTAAACTACCGAAGGCTTGCCTCAGCCAATCTAGATGTCCCTGATCCTGAGGCGAACATGTTCTTCACTTCGGTTCAGCCTGAAAACGCTGAGGTTGTTCGGCTGAACCAAAGGGAGCCAAAAGCCAGCCTATGTATGGCTGAAAACAGCCATACTCAGCTGAAGTGAATAGCTGAACAGGGTTTGACTCCGTCCACTTTGGCTCGGTTATTTACCCGGTATAAGTATAACCACAGAGACTTTCTATACATCTGCATAACAGGGTAATATAAAGCTTTCCTTCAGTATGGAGAGAACCACATGAACCTGCTTTCATTTTTTTTTCAACATATGTGCACATTAGGGCACCCTTATCTTACATATGTGCCCTTCTCTAGCATTGTCAGATGATCTGTCCTCAGCACTGTCCCCCACTGCTGCCATCTCTGTCTCTGACACTTCTGGGTTCTTGGAAGTCCTTTTTGGCCATTAGGTGGCCACTGTTGATGTAACTTCTCACATGTGCAAAGGAGATACATCCTCCACAGCACCCGGCTCATTTGTGGCATCTTAGAGACACTGTGGATAGGCTGGGGGAGTACACTGCACAGCGCATGAGCCATACAGTGTACACAAAAAAAAAACACTGGGGGAGAGAGGAAGAGGATACTTTGCATGTCTCTTTTGTTAAAAATCTCAACCTCCCAGCATTTTTTTTTCCTCTTTACTTTACTTCCACTTTAAAAAATATATCTCATGTAGGATTTACTCAGAGTGGTAAAACTGCTTCCATACATATATCCTTAGCATGACAGTGCTAGACAGCCAGCTACTTCCTTGAACCCTCGCACACCAATTACAGTTCAGATTCCCACAGGTGCCCTCTCAGACTTGGCTGCTGCATACCCACAAATAAAATACATTTTTCCCCAAAATAATACAGAATCTAATTTCTTAAATCATACTAAAGGATAAAGACCTACCTGCAATCTACCACAATAAGAAAAGTGCTAGGGAAATTGTAGCATCAGAGATGAAGTTGTACAAAAGTTAATGGAACTTCATTTATGAATAAATTGTTCTTAAATCCCTTCTTTACCCCTTTTTGCATCTATGCAAATAAAAATAGACCTCAAACCAGGGGTTGAGGGTTTTCACAGTGCCTAGCCTGCCCAGAACTGTGCATCTTCCACATTCCAGCAGTCAGGTTAAGCAGTACTGTGCATATACTGGTCACATCCATAGGCTATAATGGGCCTGTCTGTAGGCCTGCTGATATGTTAAACATGTACAACCTGCCACTTGCTGGAATATGGAGAAAGATGCAGGGCTCTGCACAGGCTTGATAGGTAAGAACCTTTGCTCTTACTTCTGCTTTTATTTGTATGTGATGGGAGGGCAAGAGAGGTCATTTGAGGTGGTTTAATTTGTGAATACTTTGCTACTTAAAGGACTTCTGATCCCAACTTCACTGTGCTAACAGGGACAAAGATCACATAAAACGTCAATTACACCAGACCTGCTGAATATTGGCAAGCGAGTAACACAGGTCTTTTTGGAAACTCTTCATAAAACTGGCCATGCACTATGCAAATTTTGGCCGGTTCATCAAGAACTGGTCGAAATTCGCACAGTGGGTGCCGCTGTTGGCACCCTTTTGGCTAGCATCCCTCGATCAGCTGATTGGAGGAGTGGTTCAAAAAATTGTAAATACACGTGCGGACGGCAACCTTTTCCCAGCGGGTGGACGTGCCTGTACGTCATTTTTGTTGTGTTCGCCCGTGAGCAGAATCCCACTCTACAGCCGTTCGATTGCTTGTATAACAAAAAACAGTGGGCACCCCCCTCCCTCTGCTGCTGCACTCACCCCCTCCACTGCCACTGCCGTTTATCCCGGGCTCCACTGCCCCCCCTGTGGGCCCAGGACCGGCACAGCAGGTGATTTCAGTGATGATGGTGGAGAGATCAGCATTTCCACACTGCTGAACTCTCCTCCTCTCTCTCTCTAAAGGAGGAAATTATGTGCATTACATCACTTCCGCCTTATACTATCATTTCTCTAGCTGCTATAGTCAGAGTGTGAGCAATAATTTTAGGGCCATAGTCACTGATAACAGTAATCTGATGAGCAGTAAAAGCTTTTAAAGAGTCGCCTATGGCCAATTTGAGGCTTTACCTGCCTCCCATAAAAGAACAGGTGTGGCTGGTTGTTGGCCGGTAAATTCTGCAGTGTCCCTCCAGGAGGTTTGTAGGAAATTAAAAAAATCTTCATTAGACGCTAGGTGGACTGGGAAGTGCCTGGGAAGCACCAAAGTATCTTATCACAGCTTACATATCGCGGGAGCAATAATTTTAGGGACATCAGTCAACTGATAACACTAAACTGATGAGCGGTAAAAGCATTTAAATCGTCACCTATGGCCAATTTTAGGTATGATAGTTTTTTTGCGATTTTGCGGGCACACACAATTTTAAAGCTTGACATGTTTGGTGTCTATTAACCCGATGTGACCCTGTCTTTTATATTTTAGCAAAAAATTGGTTACTAATAAATGTTTACATGACGTAGGGAAAACAGTTTTCTTTGAAAGCTCTATGTGTCCCCAAAAATGGTATAAAATTAATTTCAGTACAGCGTTGCATGACGGAATAAATGTCAGTCAAAGTACCGCAGCGCTGATTACTGAAAAATGGCCTGGCCAGGAAGGGGGTTTAACACCCCGGTCAACAAGTGGTTATTACCACCTTCCTCCGGTACTATAATTCTTCATATTCCCTATGCAGCTAAACTCCTTATCATTCAAAAGTGGTTTGATCCTTCGCCCCTAACCCTACAGAAGTCATACGGCTGGTTAACCTTCAATATTCTCATCAACGTATTTTTGCTTTGAAAAAAAAAAACAATATTTCTCTTTTTTTCATCCTGGGAAAATTGGCTAGTTCATCCCTACTGCAAATTGAAAAATTATGAATTTAATCACCTCCATGCCTTACCATAGGTGTGCCTTTTGCTTACCCCACTCCCCTTTTTATTGTTTCTTGTTTTCTTTTCCAGTTCTTGTTTGTTATATAATACAGTTTATATATCCTTTTTTTTTTTAAACTCCAGCATCCAATCTCAACACCTTCTAGTTTTCTACCTCTGCCTCCCCAACATGTGTAAGTGATAGGAAATGAGTTACTGTTTATCTAATTGTTTATCTAATGTTTATATACTTCTCCCTATCTTCAGGGCCGGATTCACTCTCTCTGCTGCCCAACGGCCAGGTCCCTCAATGCCCCCCCCTCTGTATGCAGGCTGCATACAATTGATCTCAGCGACATCCCCGAGATCAATTGTACAAATCCAGCAGCAGCTTCCGCGCTGTACATTTAGCTATGATTGCCCATAGCAGGCCTAAATGTAGAAAACAACTACCCACCCGGCGCCCGAAACTGCATGTCCCGGGCGTTGGGAGATAGGAATTCTATACCCCTGCTGCCCCTCTACTCCCTGCTGGCCCGAGGCCAGGCCTCGGTTGGCCTTGTGGGAAATCCGGCCCTGCCTATCTATGTTCAATTTCCAATGTGTATATCTATGCCTGCTTGATGTATGAACATTAGTGTTGTTTGTAAGAAAACTGCAATTGTAACACCACCTAATACTGGATCTGCATATCTATTTTACCTGAATATTGAGGTAGTTTGTATTTTTTTTGTAAAACGATCAATAAAAACGTATTATATAAAAACACAGGAGTTTACTGCTACACAGTGAATTGCCTAAATCGTATGTTCTCTATGATCTCTGCTATTCAGAGTTACTTAAAACACACACAATCAATTTATAAATGATAAAAGAACAAAACTAAACAAAAACCATTATAGTAACCCTTTAACATTTCCAATGGTTAGAGAGTGCCTGAAGGGAATCTCAGAAGCTGACTGGAAGAGTTCACGACAGAGCAGAGGTTGCACTTAGGGTGTTATCTGGAAATTTTTCATAAGTATTGTAATGTATGGAGGTGATAGGTTGGAGTTGGCTTTGCTGGGTATAGCTATAAATTTAAGCTGGCAGTCCCCTTTATGCTGCCCAGCTTTTGTTTAAAAGCAGATTTCACATCTTTATTTTTTAAGCTGTACAGTACTGGATTCAACATGGGGACAATAGCAGAATTAAACAAAGAGAAAAGTTTGGTGGATCCAAAGCTTTTGTTTAGTACCACATATTGTATTGTCAGCGTTATATAAAGTAAAATGATGACAGTGAGGTGAGAAGAACATGTGTAGAAGGCTTTGCGTCTCCCAATATTAGAAGGTATTTTTAGTATGGTGATGATTATAAGAAAGTAGGAAATTAAGGTCAGACAAAAAGGAGTTATAAAGAACATAAGCAGCCCTTGTATAAAGGACAGTGCTTCCAAAACAGAGATGTCACTGCAAGCAATTTTCATTATTGGAAGAAGATCACAGAGGAAGTGGTCAATTTCATTTGAGGAGTAACAAGAGATATTAACTATTAGGACACAGTAAGGAATGATCTGTAAAAAACCTAACAGCCCACAAGATAAAGCTAGCACACCACAGGTTTTAAAGTTCATAATCAAGTAATAGTTCAAAGGCTTACAAATGGCTATGTATCGATCACAGCTCATGGCTGTCAGAATATATAATTCATGACTTGATAATGATCCAAAAAGGTAACATTGTGTTATACATGCATGGAATCCAACAGTATTATTCTTTGTGACAAAGTTTACTAGGATTCTTTGTAGTGTGACCGTGGAACATGAAATGTCCACTATGGACAGGTTGGCTAGGAAGAAGTACATGGGGGTGTGTAGGCGATGATCCAAGCAGATTAGTAGAAATATAGTCATATTGCCACCAAGAGTGATGAGATATATGAGGAGAACCAGGAGGAAGATCACAACTTGCAGTTCCGGTGCTTCTGTTATTCCTTTGAAAATAAAATATGCAACCCTAGTATGGTTTACAAGCATTTCTTTGAGAAAACGTGGAAATGTTTGATGATGATATGACCAGAGTCCAAAGACAAAACTTCTCCTCAGAATTTTCTATGACTGGAACTCTAGTTTCTTGAATTTCTTTTTTTTTAGCGCCTTGTTTATAGAAATAGCTGAGACTGGGTCTTCAAATCTGAAAGATAGACCACATTAAACCAATCTTATTAATCAAATATTACCCTATATACAGTATCTGAGTTTTCTGAATAAACCCAGAGTGTACAGCCTACTTCACTTCTACTTAGTCCTCCTTTAAGTTAATCCCAATATAGCAGTTTGATGTTTTAGCAAAATAATATGTTTTAAACAAAACAACTTGATTTGATTTGTTTTAGTTATTTCAAAGGCCTTTGTACCTAAATGATACATTTAATAACTGTATTATGTACTATTTATATTAGCGTGGGCAGAGGTTTACATTGACAGCAGTTGGCCATGAGAAGCTGTACTACGTAAGTCCGAAATATATATTTTAGTGTGGATCAGTTCTTCTCATCCTATTTAGAAACTTCCCAACTGTCTTCCTGTTGCCAAAAAAGCTAACATAACTCAACAGGCCCTATGTTAGTTGCTATAGTGTGGGTAATAGATCCTATTCCATATGTCATGTAAATATCTATAATGTGTACAATTCTGTCAAATATGTATATTTTACATATATCATTAAAGTTTTTGCAAAGCCACAACTTTTTCTTTTATTTTGGATAGTATTGGGAATGGTTAAAACTCACTGTGAGTATTTATTGCTGTCAGTTTCACAATTGGGAAGCTTAAGCCTCTCCATTTGTCCTTGAGACCATTGTCAATGAGACAGCATTTTCAGTGCTCTTTTATATAATGCACATACAGTAATATACATTTTATTTTAGGGATTGGGCCATTTAAAAGCATATACAGAAACTTAAAGGGTGCTCGCAGCAAAGTGCACCCTTTAGAAGGACTTGAAGTCAGCTGGCACACATCATGGAGTACTTGGTAGCTCCTTATGATGGTGTCTTATCTCAGGCACCCAGGTACAGACATAACCACAGGCAACTCACTATCAGTGATAGCAAGATACATTTACTGCAGGTGTAACCGTAGGCATTATTTCCCCTATGCCAATGCATTTGCATGTATTTCTAAATGTAAAAAAAAAAAAAGTCACTAGTAATACAGAACTATACCTTTTTTTTTTTTGCTTGATATATTTGTCCTTATTTTCCAGAGAACCTACTAATGCGTAATTAAAATTGCTTGCTCAGGTAGAACATGTCAAACATCTTCAGGATTAAGTCAAAACATTGTACACAAAAAGATATCACTCTCTTGTCCATCTCAAAGTAATTGTGTAAGATAAAATGTTGAAAAATATGCCTGTTTATATATGAGAGCTTGTTATTGGTAATTAATTCCCTTGGAACTATCAAGGCCTGGTCAGAGTTTATACGCTCATTATTTTTAATAATTAGTTGGTTTTACAAACAAACATAAACATATGGCTTTCTTATGGACTACTAGAGCTATAACACATAATTATTACTGAAAAGCAGAACTCCAGTGTTATGCTTACCCACTGTTTGTCTTAATCCTTGTAATAAATCCAAGGAAACAGCAAGGTAGAACATTTATATACTTTTACTAAAAAAATAATATGCAAACATATATAGAAATTACAAGGCAACACAATACAATACAGAGGATTGCAAATACGCACACACACACACACACACACATACACATATGCGCCATGGCCACTTCTACATTTCCCATTCAGATGGCATGGCCAATGTTCTTGAACTGATTACAGGGCATGTGGTGTGACATCAGCAAAAGTGGGGCAAAAACCTTGTGGGGGAAGGGAGGGGTTAATGTTTTTAAGATTTTTAATTATTTAATTTTTATAAAAAAATATTAGAAAATATATAAACATATACAAGGGAAGAGGAGGCAGGAAACCCACTGATGACAAGCTCACCAGGCGCTGGTCAGCTGACAAAACAGAAAGGAATCTCTGTCTCCACCCTTGACATAGGATACTGGAGCTTCTGTCAACAGAATGACAGACAGGTGATGTCATACAGATCATCCCTGGGTTCAATGCCCTGCAATACAAACCATAAAAGCTAAAGTAAAAATGCAGCCAGGCTGCTAGGGAACACATCCCTACAAACTTTTAAACAACAAATGTAATAATTTAGAGGCTTGACTAAGTAATACTTTTTTTTAGGGGTCTATACATCATAACAAAAATGGACAACTTTACGATTCAAACAAGTAGGGTCCAGCACCACCAGCAAGTGTGTTCCATGATCACCAGATTATTATATATTAGTATTTGCCCAGTGCATGCTCAATATATGTGACAAATAATAATGTTAAATTGCACCCTCTATATAAACATATACATAAAAAATAGAAAGGAAGCAAACAGAACACTAGGTTTGTGAAATTATTCAACTTACAAACAGTTCCAAGTATAATTAACTTCAAATGTACGTTCTTATAGACTTCACACACCAAATACTCCAAAGCATTTGTAGTTAATGTATAGATACAGTAAATACATGTCAATTCCCTTCAATCCACACACTTGTGCTTCACTTCTGTGCCAACCCTCCTGCAGGTGCACTCACCAGCTAAAAATGTCCTTTTATTTCTAACAGAGGGCAAAAAGTGCTTGAGGGTATAGATCCATGAAGTTATTTTTAAGGCTTTATACCCTCTCCTCATTCCTCCATCCCTGCAGTTAGACATAAGAAGGCAAGGAAAAGCTGAATAGTGTAAACTCCTTAAACATGAATTTCAGGTATGAAGTATTATGCATACTTACATTGCTTTAGCTTGGCCAAGTGTAAGTATGCATATGCTATAGCTAATCGGCCCACACAGATCCTGTAAAGCACTGCAGCTGGAGCTACTACAATGCTGACAGTAATCTTCTGCGTCCTGTGTTGGGGTTGTGTTGAAAACACATGGAGTCACTCACTCAGCACAGCGGACAATTAATCAATGAATAAAAGGTGTTCTCTGATTGGACAAGGGGCAGATCATGATGTGATCATGAGGGGCAGATCATTCAGTTGCCGGACAGGCAGCTGAATGTATAGAAATTGGTAGGGATGCTGGCTGACGTTATTGACTTAATATGGCCATGGCCATATTTGGCCAATAACAGTGACCAGAATCCCTGCCTACTCAGCTGCCGAATCCCTTGGCCAACAGCTGATTGGAGTCACTGGATGCTAGGACGCTGGCGGCTGCCCATGTCCTAGCAACCACAAGTGGGAAGTTATTCATGTAATGGTGGTAGTAATACCATAAATACATAAATTACTTCCTGCACAGACAAAGGTTCGCTTCAGTGGGCAGGCAAACCAGCTATTTAGTTTGCCTGTATGTGGGGAACCCTGTGTAGCCACAAACTCAAACCTCCTCCCTAGGCAGCAGCACAGAGAAGGGTACTATTTTAAAGTGCAACTGACCACCAATGATTGTGTGATCATTTTGAGGGCATTTAAAGTCCCATTGACCACCAATGATGAGGGTTGGGGGTTTGTTTTATGATAGGGGTGAAAGGTTTTAAAGTTCCATGAACCACCAATGATTGTGAGATTGTTTTAGGTTCATCGATAAAATCTAGCTATTGCACACAATTTCAGTGCAACACAATTTCATCCTCTACTTTCTCTACTCAGTGAGTGACTTTTAAAGCCTAAGTGCACCTTGACTATCTCAGTACTGGCGTGTTTCCAAAAAATGGTAGCAAGGAAGGGGTATATACAGGCTACTACACAAGTGGCTAAAGGGAATGGATTATGTTTTATGTATATTTTTTCCTTAACATGCAATTGTTTTTTAAAATGCATATAAAGGTGTCATATGTAACACTTATAGCCAACAGATGACATGCTTGAGGCTGTTCTCCACTATTTTAATGCAGGAGTTATAGCCTAAATAGTATGCTTAAGTTGATCTTCTGCTATTCAGAGTTACTTAAAACATGCACACATAGACCTAGATGAGAAAAGGGACAGAAATCTCTCCCTGTGTTAGTTCATAAAGCCCTATATGGATTTTTAATTAGACAGAGGCTGTCAAACTTTGAGTGGTCAGTGAATTTCAGAAGCTGACTGGAAGAGTTTATGACAGAGCAGATGTTGCACCTAGGGTGTTATCTGGAAATTATTCATAAGTGATGTAGCACAGGCATAGTATTGCTTCTGTAATATATGCAGAGTATTGCTCTCTGAAACACTGCACTGCATTTCTCTGGCTAGTCTGATAGCCCACAGAGACTGGAGGAGAGACTCTATTGGCTGCAACTGCAGAATTGTTCTTGGATTGGTTACTGCTGTAGCTAAGAAGAAGCCCACCCATAACAACAAAATGCAAGGAAGGACTGGATTGGATAGCAGCCCAGGAGAGCTGTGATTGGCTGCCAGGCCATTTTTAGCCCAGCCCACCACCCAAGGGGAGCAGACTGAGGGGAGAGAGAGGAAGGCACAGGGGGAGAGACACAGACTGGTATGCTGCAGCCAGAGAGGGGAAAGTGTCCCTTGTGTTTGTCTCCTGTGCACTGCCAGAGTCTGTGATTCCTGTGGAGACTTCTAAAGGGAGGTGCAGGCTTGAGAGGGGAGCCCCAGTATGCTATGCTAACCTTTCGCCTGATCTCTGAAGATGTGCTAACAGTGCAGTGACATGTAGAGACGAATTTGTGTACTGCAGCCATCATCCTTTTTGGGGGATTCTGCGGCCTGTGTTGCACCCATCGCCATCCAGTCGGCTGAGACAGCTATCAAGCTACCAATTGCTGGAAGGAAGATATATAAAGTGCACCTAATGTTGAGAGATCTTCTGCCATCCTTGTGTGAATTGATCTCACTTATTCCCACTAGATCCTATTTACTGCAAAATGCAGCTCTATCTAAAGGTGGATCACCACATCTGTTAATGTTTGTCACACTGTGACACTTTGTGAAGATACCTCTTTCCAT